TTAAAAACATGAGTGTGAGAAAGAAGAGTGATCTGGGGACACAAGGAATGAAAAAGACTAATTTACATGATAAATGAGATATAACTTAGAATGCTGTATCTAAACTTCATAATCATTTCAAGACAAAACTACTTAGAAAATCAAATAAGAAGGTCTAAGGTGGAAGCTGATGACTACACAAAAAATAGAAATCAAAGTATGAGGGGAAATAATAGAATATCAAAGAAACAAAGAAAAACTGAAAAAAAATCCTCCAAATAAAAGGATAATAAGTTCCTATAAGCAATAATTTCTTTTATGCCTTTTTATAAATTTCTTTTTATTACCTGATTAATCAAGGGGGGAAAGTTTCAGCCTCTTGCTACTTGCAGAAGTAACTTGAAATTCAGTGATAAACATAAACTTAAATTAAGAGATTGGAAACAGGCTAATGGTAGCATTAGAGAGGCAGAGATGAGGACAGAATAGATTTTAGATTAAGGTAAAAAAGAGATGGGGATAAACAGTAATAAAAATTTTACTACTTAAAGTATTCATGCATCAAATAAAAGACCACCAAAATTCATAAAGCAACTTCCAGTGTACATGAAGAGACACAAAGGAAAATAATGGTATCAAAGATTTTATTTATTTTTGGTTTGGGGGCCACACCAGCGACTCTCAGGGGTTACATTCTCAGGGGTTACATCTGGCTCAGTAATTACTCTTGTGCCAGTCAGGTTAGCCATTTGCAAGGCAAGCACCCTAACCACTGTACTATTGCTCCGGTCCCAATAGCAGTAGAAGACTAAACAACCCAGTCTCACCATTAGACACATCAGCCAGCCAGAAAGTCAATAGAGAAATAATGTCAAATAAGGATTTGGAAGGACTGAGCTTCATGGACAGTTACAGTAATTTCCACCCTGAAAACCTGAATGTATATTCTCCTCCAGTGCACATCAAACATTGTCCACATTCTGGGGCACAAAACAAATTTCAGTAAAGTCATGAAGATGTCATATCAAGTATCTTTCTAGATAACAATAGGACAGTATTAGAAATAAATTATGAATAGAAAATTAAATACGTCTCAATTATTTGGAAAATAAACAACATGCTGTTGAATAATAATTTAGTCAATGAGGAAATCAAATAGTAAATAAAAAATGACTGGACACAAAGAAGAATGACAACAATTAGAAAATGTCAGACAACTGGAGAGATAATTAAGAGACTTAGGATTTTGCTTTGCATGTGGACCCTGATTCAATGCCCAGCACCAGAAGGACCGACCCCTCAGGCACCTCTAGAAGCAACACCTAAGCATCGAAGAAGTGGCACAACCCCCTATCGAAATAAATAATAAATAAGATTATACACATATCCATATAAAACAGGAAAAGCAATACTGAGGGAAATTTATGGCAATATAGTTACAGGAAATACAGTTATAGGAAAGAAGAAAATGCTCAAACTATCTACCTCACTTCTTAAGGAACTAGAAACAAATTAAATCCCAAATAAAAAGAAGAAAGGAAATAATAAAAGAACATGAAAATGTAATTGAAGTTTTTTTGTCATAAGTTTATTCATTTTTTTGGTTTTGTTTATTTTTTTAAAAAATGTTATTAAAGAGCCATAATTTACAAAGTTCCTGATAGTTACATTTTAGGCATATAATAATTCAACAGTAATCCCTCCATCAGTGTCAACTTCCTCCCAGTGGTGTTCCCAGATTCCCTCCCCATCCCAACTCTCACTCCACCCCCATCTGGCAAGTTGACCGGCACATTAAAAAGTTTCCGTAGCAAGTTGCTTCTTACATCAGGATATGAAGACAACCTCTCAAAAGGACATATGTGGACGATTATTTATCGCTGCACTCAGTACAGTAGCTAAGATACGGAAATGAAGTTTTAAATATGATACAAAAGATCAGTGAAAACAAGGTATGTTTCTTTGAAAGAATAAACAAGATTAACAATCTACTGGCCTGATTCATTTAGGAAAAAATAGAGAAAATCCTAATTAAATGAATGAGAATGGAAGGGGAGAAGTTGTAACACATGCTACATTATGAGTCTACCACGGAACCAGGGTCCTCCCATTGTTCATCGATTTTCTCGAGCCCAGTAACATCTCCATCGTGAGACTTGTTACTGTGTTTGGCATATCGAATACATCACGGGTAGCTTGCCAGGCTCTGCCGTGTGGGCGAGATACTCTCGGTAGCTTGCCGGGCTCTCCGAGAGGGGTGGAGGAATCGAACTCGGGTTGGCTATATTGGCTGCGTGCAATGCAAATGCCCTACCGCTGTGCTATCGCTCCAGCCCATGAACAACAGTTCTTTGCCACTGAAATGTAGAACCTAGAAAGAAAAAGAGAAATTTTTTAAAAATTTCAACCTCTCCTACAATGATAAATGAGGAACTAAGGAAACTTGAACATGTCAGTAACAAGCAGCAAAATTAAAACAGTAATAAAAAGTAAAAGCCCAGTTCCATATGGTTTTACTAGTGTGTTTTTCCCAACCTTAAAAAGCTACCTCTGGGGACTGGAGCGATAGCACAGCAGGTTGGGCATTTGCATTGCAAGTGGCTGACCCAGGTTCAATTCCGAGCATCCCATATGGTCCCCTGAGCACCACCAGGAGTGATTCCTGAGTGCATGAGCCAGGAGTAACCCCTGTGACCCAAAAAGAAAAAAAAAGCTACCTCTTACCTAGCCTTCTCAAGAGCTTTCAGAAAATGGAAGGAATTTTTTGAACAATAAAATAATTGAATTTTTCCTATTTCTATGAGACTAAGATTACCTTGATACCAAAAGTAGAGAGAGCCATCATTAAAAAGAAAACTATATGTTATTATTCCTGATCAATATAGATGTAAAAATCCTGAACAATATCTGTAATCTAACACTACAACAGTGCACAACAATACACTGTAACCAGTGGGATTTATTCCAAGGATACAAATATGTTTGAACATAAGTAAATGTATTAACACAATACACTTCACCACCACCAACAACAACAAAGATGAAAGCTGTGTGATCATGTCAATAGATTCAGAGAAAGCTTTTGACAAGATTCAGCATCCATTTATGGTAAAACCTCTCAATAAGACTGTCAGACAGAATGATCTCATACGTAGGGTATAGAGAAATAGGGAAATAAAAAATATCCAAAGTCAACAGAAACTGGGAATTGTCTTTGGTAGTGCATGTATCACTGGGATGGGGAATGGGGAAAATAGGATTGGTGGGGAGGTTGACGAGGCAATGGTAGATGGAATGGAGACTCTAGTGGAGGGTATGGTGATGGAATGTGTCATGCAGTAAACCTATTAATAGTATTGTAAAGCATGGTGCCTAAAATTAAAAAAAAACAAAAAACTCAAAAATGGGTATGAATATCTCAACATATTCAACATAGCTCTGAACTCTGTGGTGAAAAACTGGAAGAATGTCAACTCTCAGTACTGTTATACAACACATTAGAGGAGGTGTTAACCACACAATTAGGCAAGAAAAATGAAAGAAATCCAAATGGGAAAAGAAGGAGTTGAACCTTCACTCTTTGCAGATGATATGAAACTATATACGAAAAACCCTGAACTCCACTAAAATTGCATAGAAATAATAAACCTGTACAATAAGTCAGTAGGCTATAAAATCATAAACAATGATATGTTTGATTTCTGTACGTGAGCTGTATACACATAATTGTGCTAAAAATTGGGTACCTTTGAATCAATGAGAGGCAAATGACATACATAGAAAACCCTAAGTTGCTATTAAAATAGTATCATAAGTAAAGGACAGAGATACCTCAATGAGTTATGCACATGTGTGCACGCAGGAGGCCCAGGTTTGATCCTTGGCACTGCATGGTCCCTAGAGCACGGCAGGGAATGACCAATGAGTGCAGAGCACAGAGTAACTCCCAGTTTCACTGAGAATAACCCACCCCCACACACAGAAAAACAAAGAAATGGAAAATTAACATTCTAAAAATAACCATCCTATTCAAAACATTATACAGATTCAGTTTAATCCCTATCAAAACTCCAAGGACATTCTTTAAGGACATAAAACTAATAACACTAAAATAAACTTTCCCCTGAGTGGATAAAATACTTCACAGCATACTTTTGATAAAAAGACAATGTCCGATATATAGAGAGTACTCACAAAATTTAACAACAGAACATTAAATAACCCCATCAAAAATAGGGAGAAAAGTTCTATACAAACAAGAAGACATGCCAATGACCCTTCTTTCTACTTTTTTTTCCTTTCTACATTTTGGGGTGGACTTGTTTTTTTTTGGGAGGGGTCACCCCTGTCAGTGCTTAGGGCTTACCCTTGGCTCTGTGTTCAGGAATCACTTGTAGATGTGCTTGGGGGACTATATCCAGTGCCAGGGACTGAACTGGGGTTTACAGTGTATAAGCTTCTTTCCCCCAGTACTGTCTTTATAGCTCTCCTAAAGTTTTTTTTGTGCGTGTGAAACCTTGCTAATTATATAATTAATAGTATTTTTCAAATAAAATTATATGCATATTACCAATCTGTAATATTATTTTAATCCATTAAAAGTTCTATTTTACTTAGTTTTTTTTAAAAGAAAGTTTTATTGAAACTTATTTAGAAAGATGTGAGGGCAGAGAAGGGGAGAAGTATGTATTCAAGAGAGAACACAGGCTTGTCCAGAAAGAAAAGAGGCAAGCAAGATACATGTTCAAGGGAGAATATAGACTTGAATAGCAAGCCTGTTTTACTCATTTTTCATGTTGAACAAAGTTTTATGATCATTACTTTATAATTCCACGGTGCAAAGTGTTGAATCAAGACTCCTGTTGAGCAAACAAATGCACTGGGACCCTCATTACTCCATCTAGTTTTGAATAGGTGAAAAGAAGGGGCAGAAATAAACTTAATGACCGAGACCTGTAGTATTTCCTTATATTACTGACTTTATCTTGTCTCATATGCTTGTTTCACTGGCTTTTCTATAGTCTTTCTTTGTGGACCACAACAGTCGAGCTACCACGTTCATTGATCCTCGAATCCCTCTTCAGAATGGTCGTCTTCCTAATCATCTGACACATCGACAGCACCTCCAGAGGCTCCGAAGTTACAGTGCTGGGGAGGTAATATTGGCCTATCTTCCTTCCCCATTGCTTGCTGGGGAATAGGCTTTGTTTCTTCTTGTGGAACTAGAACTAGTTCTTAATGGGAGAATACAAGTTTTCCTGCCCCTCAAGGGACTAAGCTATACCTTCTGTGCTCTGTAGAATAACCAGTTTTGCTTTGGAATATCTGCTTAACTCCTTAGATCTATCTTTATGTCACCTTACTTCTGCCTTCCCTTCCCTTTCCTCTGTCTTCTTCATGGGTGCCACCACTGAAACTTAAAGTAAACTGAAAGTTAATGTACTGTCAGGAAATTCCCACACCTCTTGTTGGAGCTGTGCTTTCTAAGGTCACATATGAATTCTTAAAAGATTGTGGAACTGCTGTGCAATTTATTTTACCAAATTGTACCTCTCTATAGATCCTGGGAAAATATTTCAATAGTGTATTGTAACTGGAAGCTAGGGAAACTCAGTTCCTACCATGTGTTTTCGTCTAGTTTCACTACCTCTGGTAAGCCACACACAACCACACACACACACACACACAGAGAGAGAGAGAGAGAGAGAGAGAGAGAGAGAGAGAGAGAGAGAGAGAGAGAGAGAGAATGGTACATTTCTGAAGCATTGTGTTCATTTTATTTTTGAATCACTGTTTCTATGTCCTGGACTCTTTTCTCCTTTCCCAAATGAAAACTTGAAACAGAGCTCTTTTTTACTTCCAATTAGTTCTTGACATTAATATCATCAAATCTTTTATTCTCTACCCCAAATGGCATTTTCTAAGTTTATATACCTTATTTTCATAGAAATAGCAGGATTTGAGGCTTGAGAATAAAACCCCATACAATTAACCCTTTAGAATTGTATTATAAAGGCTAAAAATGAGCAAAGTAGTATTGGAAGAGAAGAAAGATATATTTGCATAAGTATCTTTATGCATACATAACTCCCCTCTAGTGAGTCCAGGGAGTACCACAGTGGACTTCTCAGTAGAAACTGGGAAAACTCCACCCGACAAATCAAGGGGAACCTGCTGCTGTTGTTTTGACACCAGTTTAAAATTTTTTTCTTTACAGATTTTCAGTGGAATAAGCAATATACTCTGAGAGTTTTAACTATTTCCAACCAAGGATTACTCATGGTTTAATTCCATTGTAATAAAATGAACTTTTCTTTCATTTTAGGCATTATTGTTTTGGATACTATTAAAATCACAATAACTTTCTTTTGGCATACATGTCATGTATGTGTGTGATCATTCAGAGAGGGAATATTATACGTTCCTCAAGTGTCATTTGGTTACCAAAATCCTCCAGGTAATAAACACTCTGCTCCAGAGACATTCACAGACCACAGAAAGCAGTGCTCCAACATCTCACCTGGAAATGCATAGTTCAATTTTTTGATGGAATCTTTAGAACATTTCAGAAAGTACCTTTACTTGTGTATTTACTTAAACTGATTGTGGACAAAATCAGAATACCAACTGCACCAGTCCAAAAAAGACTCATACAGGACTGGAGAGATATTACAGCAGGTAAATTGCTTACCTTGCTCTTGGCTGACCGTGGTTCAATCCCCAGTATCTCATTTGGTACCCTGAACCCCTTCAGGAGTTATCTGTGAACACAAAGTCAGGAATAAACCCTGAGGACCTCCAGGTGTGCCCCCCAAACAAAAAAGATACATATAAACCTCCCCCATTTAAAATGTTTTATACTCATACATGAATGTGCATCAGCTACCTGATTCACCCACTCTTTGGTTATTTTGTTCATCAGGCTTCCAAATCTGTTTTTTCCTCTACCTTGCCTCTCTGCTGTAATTTTGCATTAACCAAGAAAAGTAACATGGTAAGAAGCTGAGAAGTAGAAGTGTCTGATCCAAGTTGAACACACCAGAGAAAACAAAAACCCAGCCTTTGTGAAAACAAAAGCAATCTCCTGTGGGAGTGTATCACTTAGACAAGGAGGAGACGGAGGGTTGTGGTATAAAAGTAAAGAACCAGAGAGAGCCCCACAGACTGAGAAGATGCTCATCGTGCAGGAAGACCTGAGTTCAGTCCTCGTCACTGCATGGTCCTCTGAGCACTGAGTCAGGAATAGCCCTGAAGCTCTGTTAGGTGTAGCCCATAATTTTAAGATCACGGTCACGGTCATGTTCCTCCCATTGTTCATCGATTTGCTCGAGAGGGCCCAGTAACATTGTGAAACTTGTTACTGTGTTTGGCATATCGAATATATCACGGGGAACTTGCCAGGCTTTGCCATGCGGGCGAGATACTCTCAGTAGCTTGCCAGGCTCTCCGAGAGGGGTGGAGGAATTGAACTCGGGTCGGCCATGTTGGCTGCGTGCAAGGTAAACATGCTACCCTCTGTGCTATTGCTCCAGCCCAATTTTAAGATAAATAAAATTTTTATATAATTTTTGGTTTGGGGACTATACCCAGTGGTGCTCAGGTCTTACTCCTGGTTTTGTGCTCAGGGATCATTCCTGGCACGTTTTGGGGGACCATATGCAGTGCTGGGGAATGAACCCATGTCAACTGTGTGCAAGGCAAATACCCTAACCACTGTACTATCTCTCCAGACACATAATTTTTTTTTTTTTGCTTTCTGGGTCACACCTGGTGATGCTCAGGGGTTTCTCCTGGCTCTGAACTCAGGAATTACACCTGGCAGTGCTCAGGGGACCATATGGGATGCTGGGAACCGAACCCAGGTTGGCCGCATGCAAGACAAACGCCCTACCCACTGTACTATCGCTCCAGCCCCCAAATATTTTAATTTTTCAAAGAGAGAAAATGAACTGTTTACCGGGACTGGAGTAGTAAGTTTCCACTTTGTTTTTGTCTTTGTTTTGGAAAGTTTTGAATTCCATATACACTTGGGACTTTTAATGAGTGCATTGAGTGGATATGGGAGGGGTAATGTGATGACTTTGTTATAAAAATGGACTTTAGGGATGAATCCACCTTTTGCTCCTTAGCAAGAGAAAAATATTAACATTTGGGGGAGACAATTATGTAGATGATGCATACCACTGCAGAATATTTTCACCCTGTTTTTATCTACTAAATTCAGTGGTGTCCACTCCCTACCAGTCATTGTGACAACTAAAACCAAATAAAAAACAAAACACCCACAAGCATTCCTAAACACTCATAGGTAATAATACTACTCCAGTTTAGAATTATACTTTGTGGGGCCATAGAGATAATTCAGCGGGTAGGACGTTTGCCTTGTATGTGGCTGAGCTGGGTTGAATACTTTGCACCACATATGGTCCCTGGGCCCTTCAGAAGTGATCCCTGAGTGTAGAGAGCCACGAGTAAGTCCTGAGCACCAGCAAGTGTGGCCTTAAAACAAACAAAAGTAGCAAAGAATTGTGCTTTGAAATTAAGTAAACTCAAATATCAAAAATGCAAGTCAATATGAGAGGGTGGTCACCATTTAGATTTTTGTAAAATACAGTATGGCCTCGTACTTTCAATTTAATTTATTTTTTATTTCCTTTATTTTGTTGGGCACTTTCTGTGTTTAGTAAACTTGTTACTCTGCACTCAGGCCTCTCTCCTGGCTGCTTTTGAAGGACTATGTGGGGTGCTGGGGATTCAACCTGGGTCAGCTGCATGCAAGGCAAGTGCCCTACCTGCTATACTATCTCTCTGGTCCCTGCACTAGTTTAAGGAAATGAATAGAGACTGAGAAGTACAAGAAAATTTGTAAGAAAAAGGGTTTGGAGAAGAGAATTCTTCTGTATATCTAGTACCAGTAAAATAGAATTTATGTTTTCCCGTTTTCCTATAGCATCCAAATGTAATTAGAGACTAAATAGATGAATGGGAAGAGATATGGGACTCTAAATACTGAGCCCTGTATCTCTACCTGTAAGCAAATCATTGCAAGACAAATATTATGCTTGGTTTTGGCACAAAGTATGTTTATGCTATAATTAGCAATATAAATTAACACTAATAGTGAGGGAGAACAGAAATATTTTTTCAATTTCATCTTTTTGATAATTAAGAAATATTTCAATCACTGTGAATTCTACAGTTACAAAGTTACTCATGATTAAGTTTCAGGTGTACAATGTTCCAACACCAATTTCTTCCAGTGTCCCTAGTTTCCCTTCTATCTTCCAATCTGTCTTTAGAACAGGTACTTCCCCCTTCATCATTGTCCTAGTGAAGAAAATACTTTTACTACTTCTACCACCTTATTTTAGTCAAATTATAAAATCTTCATAGGAGGAAATTTCTACAGTGGCACACACAAGAAAGACTCAATAAAATTTTTGAGTGATACATGTGTAAACTCACACAAGATAGAGGGCACGGCACCCACAGCGGCGGTGGCTCTGTCTCTCCCGCCGCCCGCGTTCAGTAGTCTCACCCTTCTCCCACCCCGGAGAGGTCGATGGTGATGGTCAGGCAGAGGAAGGAACGAGGGCCAGGCTGGTAGGTATTAGTCGTAGTTTATTCTGATTCTCTCCTCATCTGTCTCTCTATCTCTGCCCCCATTCTTCCTCCCCCAGCTACTTCATTCTCCTTCTCCATTCCCCTTCATCCTCCTTCTCTGGAGTCTGGGTTCTGAACCTCTCTGAACTCTCTTCTTCCTTCTGCCCCAGCCCACTCCTACAGTACAGTTAAATCCTCTCTCCATGAGGAATTGGGGGAACAAATACATAGGTGTGGTCACAATCAATAGGGGTGGAGATCAACAGGGGTAGAAATCTTAGCCTCAAGGAAGACTGCTCCTAGGACAGATCCTTCCTCAGCAGGAGGACCCAACCTAGAGCAGAATCCCATGAGCGTGCCTCTCCTCTCCTTGTCCGACAAGCATATAAAAATATAATATAAATCATTTTGTATGGATACAGTAAGAAATATCTTAAACTTATAGAATTGCTCTCCTAGGGCCATCTCGATCTCAGACTACGGTGCTCAGGCCAGATAGTCTTTCCCACCCCTAGCAGGATCCTAGTCTTGTCGTTACCTTGGATCATGACAG